ACCTCCACGTGGCACCTCTTCCCTTCCAGTTGTGGTGAAGTGACTTTTCCTGCGTTTTTGCTGGGAAGAAAGTGAATGAGGAGGGTGCAGGGACTCAGACTGGCATCTGCCCCATACCCAGCAGGTTCAGGTTGTCAGAGTGCAGGCTGGGGGCACGATCCTGGCGAGGGAAGTGCCACGGCTGATGTGCATGTGGCATTGCTTGTTTCTGGTTGTGTGTGGTGGGTCCAGCTCTTACCAATCAAATTGCACAGTGGTGGGATACTTGGATGCTCTTTTCTTCCCTGTCTCCTCTGTCATACTGTGAAGCTGTCTAAATGTCAGGGGTGCTGGTGATTTGGCTGTGACAGGAGTGAATTTTAATGAGGCTTGCTCTTCAGTGTGAATGTATTGATGTAGGCATGTCATGTAGCCTGTCTGTCAGCCAAGTTACTAGCTTTCAGCTGTATTATATGCATAATTTAGGGACTGCTTCCAACCTGGGAAAGCCCAGTCAGGTCACTGCAGGGCAAGGCAGAGCTGTATTCCCATACCCACCTAGTGCTGACGCTGCTTTCGTGACCCACAAGGATCAGAAGGAATCCATGGGAATCGCTGTCTTCTGGCTCCTGCTTCTCTTTGGGGTTGCTGTTGCAAAGGCAGGCTGGGCTTACTCATCTGCCTTCAATGCAGCCACACAATCGCCTCTTTCGAGGAAGGGAATTCATTAGTTTCTGTGAAGTGGCCTTGGATCTCTGGGCAGCAGGTGCTTCTATAGAGCAAACTGTTGCTGAATATTCAACAGTTGCTATACAAGCAGTCGGGCCGGCTGCCTGTGAAGCACTTGGAGTTATCTTGAGCATCCCATTAGATAAAGTGCAAAGCACTTGCAGGTTTAAACCTACCCACAGCTACGTTGTGTTGGTGGTATTTTAGCGTTTGGGGCTGGGTTTTTGTTTGGGGTTTTTTTTAAAATGTGAATCTTCCAAGATCATAAGCAGCAACTTATCTCTTTTGACTCAGCCAACAAAGGGAACTGCCTAGCAGAATGACAACCACAGTGATTCATATTCAAGGCATCATTCTCATACTGGTTTGGGCTAATGACATGTGCACTGGAAACAAATGACTCAGGCTGGAAGTGTCTCTTCATAGTTAAACTTTTTAAACTCTCCTTAAACTCGAGTTAGCTCTTTCAAGCCTACCCGAATAACACTTGTTCTTGCCAGCCTCTAATTTGGTACCTGCAGTACTGTAGATATGTAAGCTATGAAGGAATAATTTGAGGGGTTAAGGTGTGCAATCAGCCTTTTCTTTTTCTTTTCTCTTTTTTTTTTTTTTAGCAGTTTAGGTGTGGTCTGTAAGCAGCTTGTGCTACATGGCATCATTGAAAGTAGGGTTCTGTGAGAAACCATGGTCACTGAACAACTGCAGCTTCAAATAACTTACAGCTTTAGTCAGGAAGGCGTGGATGCCTGTATATTGCTTGCTAGTGACATGCCCTGATCCTCTTGTCTTGTAGTGGCTTATTGAACCTGTATCAGTTGTTCTAAAGGTGCTTTGTCTGTGTTCTCCTGCTGGTTATTTAGGCCACAGAAGGAAAACCTGTAATTCAACGTGTAATTGTGACAGTTGCACTGAAGGCTGGTTTCACCGAGGAGCTGAAGAGACACCTCAGTGGTGTTATCCTTGTTCCGTGCTTTACGGGTATCCTTGTGCCTGGAACACTGCATTATTAGGGGTGTAGTGATTCCACACCCCTAAGCTCTTAAAACTTAATAGCAAAGCACGTAGTTCCTGCTCACAGAGAACAGGTTTCAGCACAGGAGCTGGTCCTGGTTGCTGTACATCTTGCTGAAATGGCGTTGGCACCGATTGGAGGTGGACCTCGAGCACTTAAAAGCATGGAAAAGCAGCTGATGCAGCTGCTGGAGCTGAGCCTTCCTGGCAGGGTTGTTTGTTGGTGCTGCTTGCTTTGAAAGGGCCGGGGGTCCTCAGGGTGTGATTTGGCTGCCGGGTGCTCAGAAAGCAGCTGAGCACTCTGTTTGTGCCGGGTGTGGGGTCGGTGCCAGGTTTGAGGAGGGCTGGCAGCCTGGGATGTGGGATCTGCTTCCCCCTCTTCGAGGAAGCAGCTGAGGGGGAGCTCCTCCAAGGAGCTTGGCTGGCCCATGTTCTTCATTTATCCAGTCCCCATCAGTCCCTGAGCTCCCCTCAGCTCAAGGGTGGGATCAGCAGAAGGGGAGGATCTCCTTCCAGAAGGGGTTCCAAGTCTTACAATGGGTCATCGCCTCCAAAAGCTCATTTCTTTTCTCCCTTTTTTTTTTTTTTTTTTCACGGGACTTAAAAGTGTAGGAACAGAACAATTGCACTTGGGAAGGAATCCCTGGTACTGAGCAGGCTGGGAACAGTGCAGCCTGTGCTGGAGCTGTGGATGAGCACTCTCAGACAAGTAAATGTGTAAAGGTTAAGTTGCCACAAAGTGACAGGGAAGAGAAATGAGCCCTCAGCCTGTACAGATGACACTGCACATTTAATTGCTAATGGACTCTTTAAAGAGCAGCTCGGCAGCTATTATTAGAAAAAGCAAATGTGTGGTGTTACCTACGGAGAGCAAAAAGGGAGTCTTTCCCGATCTTCTCGACCTTTACTTTCTTGTGTTAATTTGTTTAATACCAGTGAGATTTTCCTGCTATAAAAACTTGCTTAAGCAGAGACTTCTCCAAAACCTCTGAAAAAGACGTGCTAATTGGGAGCTTCAGGGATCCATTGTGTACTCCCTGCTACTCTCTTTCCCGCCTGGATCAGACTTTTACCAGCTGGTGCAATTCCATAACAGCAGTCAAGGGCTTTATTGCATTAAATTTGTTAGGAGAAATGGGACCTCTGTGCCTGTGGGGCTCAGCGTGTGGGAGGAAACTTCGGGGAAATGTTAGATAAACAAACACTCCCGGGTACTTCTGAAACATTTTAATTGCTCTTAACAATATTTGCTTTTTCAGCACCTACTAAAAAGGTCTTATTGCTTGTGCTGTTTGTAGATCCCAAGGTACTTTTCAAAGAGCAACAGTGGCATTGTCCCTGCTTGCTTGTGATGGTGCAAGGTGCAGGTGAGATGTGCTGGAGAACCTGGGGCTAAGGCAGGGCCAGGACAGGCTCTAGGGATGGGGTCTGACCTGCCAAACCACCCTGTGGATGAGGCGCTGTGACCGTGCTGAGGTGCTGTGGCTCAGAGCTATAAATCCGATTGCATGAGTCAGCATGGCTTCAGTAGAGACTACATGGCAGAAACCAAGGCTGAATATCCTTTTGGACATCTCTGAGTGATACCTAAGGAAAGTTTCAGGTGTAACAAGGTTGACACAGAGCAGTGGGAAAAGGCATCTACACGTGTGGTTATTATTGTATAAGTGTCTCACTGGCATTCCTTGTTCATCTGGAAGACCTGTTGAAAGCTCAGCTAGAAAAGCATCCAGTGTCTGCTCTCAGTGTACCTGGAGGTTCAAACACAGCAGGCAGTGCTGTGCTTTTCCCTGCTCGGGTATTCATTAGTTAATGAGGTTTGAGCAGGTGGGGTTGTTTTGAATTTTTTCAGCCTCCATATGCTGGGAGGTTTCACAGTTATATAAACTGGTGTTTCAGGGAAAAAATGGACGGCGAGACCTGCATTTCTAATAGGAGTTTTTGCAAATCTTCAGAAGCTGCAGCTTCTGCCTGACTCTTGTCATGATGAAGTGAAAAAGACGCTGAGAACAGTTTGTGTCATCAGCACAGAACATCTCTGGTTCTGCAGGAGGGGCTTTAAGCCTCCTTGGTTCCTGCAGAGGAGTGTCCAGAGGCTGAAGCAGAGCTGTGGCAAGTGGTGGCACTGTGGCAGTGTCCCAGTGAAGGTGCTCAGCAGAAGGGCAGGGGATGCTGGCAGTGGTGCCAGGCTGCCAGTGCCTTGGGATTCCTTGGGGAGGAGCTGGGCAGGATGACAGTTATGCCTAAACTATATCCTTGAATGAAATATTCCATTCCTTGTGCCAGTGAACTGAGCTTTAAATACCTGATTGTCTTCACTTCCTGACAGCAGCTCAATGGTCAGGCTGCCTGTGGAGCTCCCAGGTGAGCTTTGGAGTGAAGCTCTGAGTCAGAGCATTTGCAGGACTCGCTCTGGACCTTTGAGTTATTTGTGTCATGCTGGATGGGAATTGTCAAAGCAACCCTGTGTTGCTGCTTATCAAAGGACAGAGTGAAATCTTCGCCTTTATTTTTTCAATTAAGAATTTTTATTTGTCCCTCAGGGCCAAGCAAATAGAACCCAGCTTGTCTTGGCTGTTGTGAGTGTTCACGGGGCAAGAAGGGGAGGGAGAGGACAAACAGCAAGAGCAAAGAGTTGCATTAATGAGAATGATGTCTTATTTTAGTTGATACATGATCAAGACATGTGGTTCCAGGAAGCAGGAACAGATGATTTCAGTCTTTCTTTTTTTCCTGCTCTCTTAAATCTTTATCACCATGACTTACCATAAACATTTTAACACCTGCCAACTCTTTTTTCACCTTATATATTTTTGTGCATCCTCAAAGACAGAGTAAACTGTTAGGCTTATCTGGTTTGCTTTTGTTTAATCTATAATATTAATCACAGGACTAACTCTCAGTGACTCGTGTATTATCTTCTTTCAAAGGACGCCTCATTTTGTTATAAAACTTTGGGGCATATTTATTACTTTAAGTGCATTTTTTTAGTAAATTAGGGCAAAATTGATTGCATTTCACGCCTGAGTGTTGTGTCCTCTGACCCTTACTCCCATGTAAGAGTCAGAGACAGTATTTGAGCCCCTCTGGAAGGTACAAGCTACCTCAGGGGCCTGCAGGAACTGGCTTTGTAAAAGCAGGTCAGCTTGTTGTTTTATGGCTTTTATTCAGTATCACTGTTGCTTACCAGGGCAGCCAGAGAGTGGGTTATTGCTTCTCCTGTATCTCCTTGACTGCCTTAAGGGGCGATCTGAACTGACTCCCAACTCTTCTCTTTCCAGGGGGGTGAACTCCAGGACTGTGCCTACTTGGACAGCGAGAGCGCCTACAGCGAGTCGGAGCTGTTCCCTGATGAGGACGGGATGACTCTGGCCCAGCAGGAGGTTCACCATGAGTCTGACATGGACAGTGCCATCGAGAGTGCCCAGAGCTCGGAGGCCTCTGACGTCTGCCAGGACAAGGACGGTGTCCTGGGGGGCCTCTTCCTGCCCGGGGACAAGTGAGTGCTGGTTTTGCCCCGTGGCAGCAGCTCTGTTCTGTTCCAAGGCATGTGCCAGGGAGGAAGGAGCCTCTGTGTGACTAATCCCTGCTGTGGGAGGCTGAGGATGTCTGGTGGATTGAGAGACTAAACATCCATTTGCAGTGTGAGGGAGATGGATGTCCAGGTCTGCTTAGGTAGTCCCAGTCCTGGCTCCTGGCATGTTCTGTGAGCACTCACAGGACTTGTGTGTTGAAGTGAAAGCATTGTTGGGTCTCTCCAGGATGGATCACTGTGTTAGCATCCCTCAAAACTTAGGATCTTCTGTGTTCCCTTAAGCTTTACATGCTGGAATTAAATACTTCCTGCAAAGCAGTTCAGTATGAGGAATGCTGCTTTAGTCTTTTGTGCATCTAGTTACCTGGCAGTGTGGGCTCTGCAGATTTGCTTTGCAACTTCATGTACCAAGTTAATTCTTTGTGTTTCTAATTTCCATAACCTTTAGTGTTCAGTAGTAAATGGTGTTTAACACGGGGTGTGCTGGCATGTGTGTGTGTAACCATAGTTTGCTGTTAACACCAGTGTCTCTGTAATCCTAACTTGACTCTTCCCAGGTGTGTCCCTGGGAGCGTTGGTTAAAGATGACTGGGGTGGGAAAAGGACCCAACTTGATTTAATCCTGCTTTGAACTGAGTTAACACAGTACCACAGGACAGAGCTCAGCTGGGCTTGCTTTGTAAGCCTCTGCCTTGTCTTCCCTATTTTTGGCTTGCCGTCTTGACTTGTGTCTCCTGAGCTTTGTTCATTGCTAAGGTAGTCTTCCTTCACTCTCCTGGGCCTCCTCAGGTGCTCCCTGTGCAGCCTCATTCCTACCCTCCTCCTGAATTTCTCAGCTACCTGTTCTGACCTTTTCCCACTTGCCCAAGCAATCTCAGAGATTTATCAAGATAATTACAGTTTTCATCAGCTCTTTATCAAACTTGTCTCCTTTGCTTGCCATTCCCAGTTCTCCAAAGCCCCATCCTTGCAGTGACTTTCACCTGTACTGGGTTTGAAATGAGTCTTTCCTTCCAGCTGTGCCAGTCAGGCTCTTGTGAAGGGGGTGGGAAAGGCATTGTGCATCCTGTACCCTCCTTCTAGGGCAGGCAGGAACTACTAAGAGCTACTGTGCTACTACTGATAGACCTTGGTTTATCCTCTGAAGCCTCCTCAGCCTTGGTAAATCTGTGGGAAAACACTTGTGAAGCTTCATGCAGAGCAGGAGATAGCTTTAAAAGACAAACAAACAAAAAACACCAAACACACGAAAGTTTCCTTCAGAAAGCATTAGAATGAGGGAAATCATCTGCTTTTAGCAACTCTTTTCAAATGGCTTTGCAATTCCTAGGCCTCCAGTCCTGCTGGAGGTGTTACGAGGAGCTTCTTCCCAAGCTCACTCGGTGTAACTATGTTGAGATGCAAACAGCAGTTGCAGTTACACAGATCATGAGATCCCCCAAAAACGAATCAATACATGGCACAGCAGTTCTTCACGAATAGATGTTGAGCTTCTCACTAATGCCCCAGCCAAGGAGCCTTGTTAGATAAGTTTGATCTATTTCTAGTGTGAGTATTCCTATCTTCATCCTTTAATAGTGTGCCAGGCTTGACTTGCCCTAATTTCTGTTAATGTGAGTTAGATAAATGAGTTGCAGGTTATAAATGGATCTCATCAAAACGGGAGAAACAAAAGAGCATACATCTGAAATGTTGGCAGGCTTCCTCTTCTGCTAATTGCTTTTGGAGGGAAGGGATATGCAGATAGTGCTTGCCAAAGGAACACTGGTGCATCTCTTGTTTACAGCTCACCAGTGTAGTATTACAGGAAAAAGAATCTCCCTGTGGAGAGGTTGGGAGGTTCAAGGCAGACTCAAAAAAAACATAGGAGGAAATATTGCTGAGCTGCTGTAGAACCATCAGCTGGGAGTTACTGTCCCGTGGCTCAGCTGGTGGAGTTGAAGGTGCAGGCACTGTGCACTGAGGCAGAGGGAGTGGAAAACTTGAACCAATCTGCACAAAGTGCCAGCAGATTCCATCAGTGCCTGTCTGTATTCCAGAGGCCCTGGATTCTGCTCTGTAGTGGGAAGAGCAATGTGTTGGGCAAAGCCAGGGTTCCACAAGTGAATCATCTTACTTCAGGCCTTCTAGGTGGGTTTTCTGTAGGGAGAAGTTTGTTTGTAAGAACTTGTATGTGAATTCAGTGGCTTCTCTCTGAATGCCTGACTGAGGTGGGAGCTGAGCAAACCTGTGTGGAATCTCTGCCTCGGCAGGTGCACTCTGAGGCTGCAGGGCAGTCTGGACTCTGGGCAGGAGAACACTGTGCCCTCTCTGCAGCCAACTTGCTCTGTTTTATTAGATGTGATGTGCTCAAAACTGCTCTGCCAGCTGCTTTCCTGTGGTGCCTGGCTCTGCTGATCTATTTACCTCTGTGCCCTCTCTCTCTGAGGTCACAGGGTCCTGCCATTCCTGCCTGTTGGGCATTATTTGAAGTGCTTCTCTGGTAGCTAGGCAGCCTCTCCTTGTGGTCCTTATCTGCTCTGAAAGACACAATTTGTCATGATGGAAGGAAGGTCACATCAGTAGCTTTAGTGACTCTCAGGTGTTGTGGTGAGCTCAAGTTTGTTTCTGACCACACAGAAGAGAGTGGCTGGAACTCATGGGGTGTGGGAGAGGGTTTATTGGGATTACTGGAAAACTCTCTGATTATGGAATACAGCGACAGCCTCTGTGTTGCACGTGTTCTTCTCACTACCCCATGCATTTTGGAGTTGTCTGCATTCAGAGCAGAAGTCCCCACTAGGAAATGGTGACTGAGGATCATCAGGGTGTGCTCTTTAAAGTGAAGTGGTTTGTGTTGATCCAAACCTGTCTCACAAGCAGCTTGTTTGTAGATACCTGTGCTCGTGCCTTTCAGGGCACGATGTGTCCATTGCACATCAGATGCATTTAGCACTTCAGGGTTTTGGCACAAAGTAAGCGGGGTACAACTTCCAGTGAGGGGACAGGCTGTGAAGGTGGAAGATTCCATGTGAGGTGAGGTGCTATCAAAGTCGGCCTTCGAGATGTTTTGACCTCTTGTTTCAGGTCAAGTCCTCACAACCCTTCTGCAGCATCTGACCTCTCCACTTACTCTACCGCCTCTCTGATCAGTAATGAAGAACAGTTTGAAGATTATGGGGAAGGAGATGATGTGGATTTTACTCCCAGTAGCCCATGCCCTGATGATGAGACCAGAACCAACGCCTACTCTGACCTTGGCTCATCTGTATCTTCCAGGTTGCTCCTTATTCGTTAACAAACAATTTTTAATCTTTATTCTTCTCTGACCATACCAGAGTTTACACTGGTTACACAGACTCACCTTAAAATGTTATCACTTCATTTTCTGCCCTCCAGTTGACAGACTGCATTTAATAAGAGCTGAGCAAATATATTGTTTCTGATAACCTCCGTTGGGTTCTGTTGAAATAACTGGGCTGTTTTGCTTCTAGAGATTGCACTGTATTGCAGACAATATAATTCACAGTTCAGGGCTAGTACTGGAAGGGATCTGCTGCAATGGAAACCAGCTTAGCACTGTGCACCAGCCCTGATGCAGTGGAGAGAAGATTTACAGGAGAGCTGTTTCTCTTTGGTGTTCTGATACTGCAAATCCTCAGCACTGAGCTGTGAGGGGAAGTGCTGCCCACGGACAGGGGGTTATCATAAGCAAGTAGCTGCTCTCTGTTGGGAGCTAGAAATGCCACAGCACTGCACTGGTTTCCTGCCTGTGACCTCAGTCTCTGCAGCTCTTACGTCCTGTGACCAAGTCAGTTCCAGATTTTACAGTCCTTCCCCAGGCAGGGGAATGGGGGAGCAGGGTTGGGAAGAGCTGAGCATGGAGATTGTCTAGGATTTGCCTGCTTGGATCAACGGCACACGAAGGTCTTGTGCTTCATGGCTAACACAGGACAAGCTCACTGCATCCTTCTGTTCTGCATGCAGCCCCACGTGCTCCCCTCTGTTTCCAGCACTTCTGCAGTCCAGCCTTGCCACCTCTGTCCTGCATGCAGAGCCAGCACCCTTCTCCTCTGCCCTTTCACGAGGATGGCTTGTATCCTTCATCCCCTCCTTCCTTGGGTCTGTGCAGCCCTTTCCATTCTCATTCCTGGGGCTCAGTGCACTTCATGCCATGATTGCTCTTTTTTATTTGAATTTATTTTCTCTTTATCATGCCAAGAGCTACTGTTATCTCCTCTGTGTCCACTTCTCCCTTCCTCCTCATTCCAGGGTTCCTTTCATCCTACCATCTGAGGGGCTTTGTGTGACTTCTTACCCAGCCACTCTGTTTTTCATCTTCCTGTCTTTCTCTTGGAGAAGAGACTCTTTGGTTTGCATGCCAGGCTCTAATGGGAAGATGGGCAGGATGAGAGGAGGGCATTGCTGAGGTGGAACATAGTGATCTAGCTGCCTTTGCTACATGCATCCCAGTGGACTCTGTATGCCTTTTGCTATTCTTCTGGTCACCCAGACTGGTTCTTTGCACTGACACCCAGACCACGTCCTCTGGAAAGGCTCAGCTCAGACAGGTAGACTTGCCCTAAGGCCAGAATGCTCCATCATCAGCTCTGAATTAGATGACTGTGGTTAGAGGTGATTCTTCAAGTCCCTCATCTGTGATTCTGACACGCAGACACACAGTCAAGAGGAAAGCCAGTTGTGAGTTGGTCACTACAGCCAGTAACATCTCTCCTTTCCTGCAAACAGCGCTGGCCAAACCCCCCGAAAAATGAGGCATGTTTATAACAGCGAGTTACTGGATGTTTACTGCTCACAGTGCTGCAAAAAGATAAATCTCCTCAACGATTTGGAAGCCAGGCTGAAAAACTTGAAAGCAAACAGGTAAGCAGCCTATTGCACTGCTTTTGGCAATGCCCCCTGGAAATGGCACCAGTTAGAAGCAGGAGGAGAGGGAGAGAGAACCCTCTCCTTTCCTGTATCCCATTCTGTCTTACACGTGTGTTGTCCTTAGAAAACAGTAAGAAATTTAGAGTTTGACATCTAACCTGAACCAAAATGCTGTTCCTCATTAGCTAGTAGCTATTTTTCTGACTTAAGGTGCAGACAGCATTAGTAAACTCAAATATTTTAACCAATGAGCTCTTTGATTGCAGAGTGAGAGTGATATTTCCAGGAATTTTTCCCAGGAAGTGAGATCTGTTGTGCTGCTTAGTGCAGATCTACAGTTAACTACTGCTTTCTCCAGGTGGGAAGGAGGGATCTGCAGATCCTTAGCTAATGCATATAACCTTACATACACCTCTCCTAAAGCTACTAGTCAGCAGAGGTACTTTGTTCCTATGGGATTTTATTTTTTTTTTTAATCCTCAAGGGAACTTGGAAAAATGACAAATTCTTATGGCAGAAGTTACTTCTGGAGTTCTTGGAAATTTCAGCTCTTTCCTTACATTTCTGTAAGGAAATTTCCTTACATCTCTGCCACTCCATCCCCTTCTGAGCTGTGCTGAGCACTTGGAAAGTGCTTGCAACAATCACCCAGGGTTTTTTGAAGGCAATTGTTTGGTGGGATTCTGGCTCCCCCTAGAAACTGAACATGAGTCCTGCCTGTTGGCACAGTCCTTGGGACAGAGCACACTGCGCTGTCGGTGGCACAGCAGTGGAGCACTTGACATGAACAGTGTTCCTGCCCTAGCAAGGCTCTGCCAACACCCAGAGCGTGACCCACCAGGGCTCTGGGAATTTTGTGAGGGAGGCTGTGAATGCCTGGCTGGAAGAGAGCAATGCCCTGGCAGAGAGCTGTGCCTGTGCACGCTGAGATGTGACATCCTCTCATGGAGAGGTGCTGCAGGATATTTTGATCTGGTTCTGGTGCTGTTGTCTGCAGTGTGGCCCTTTGTCTGGATAATTCCAGTCCCTGGCTTGCAGAAGGGAGCTGTGAAAATGGGAAGCACCTCAGTTCCTGTGCTGAACTGGGAAGCATTATGGGGAAGAATAAACTAACTGTTTATAAAATCATCTAAAAACTGGGAATCCGGAATCACTAGTTCATCACTAACTTAGTGTCCCTTTGTGGTGTTTCTAATGTTAGTTTTGCTCTGATTTACACTGACAAATCTCTGCTAAACATAACAGTATTTGCAAATTGACTTATTAATGATCACAGTAATTTGTGGCTTCACTCATCTTTGCATTTGTTAGTAACTGCAGCTTTTGGTTAAGTTGTTAAAGAATATTGTTCACAGAATCATGTTTTGACTTTGCTAAAATAGTCAATATTCTGTTTCATTATGCAATTAAAATTGGATCAAATCAGTATTTAATTCCTATATCATTCCTTCTGTATCCATATAGCCCTAACAGGAAAATATCAAGCACAGCTTTTGGAAGGTAAGAGTCTTCAACTTTTCCATGAATACTTGTGGAATCAGTCATAACAATTCCATAAGTGGGAGTGGGAAAAGAGATTAAGAATAAGTTTGGAAAACAAAAATTTGCCAAGATAAGTTTTCAAGGAAAGGGGCCTGTGTTTGGGTAGGGATGTTAAAGAACATAGAAGCCAATACTTGGCTTGGAGCAGGCTCCTGAACTGGAAAGAGCTCTTAAAAACATAGATAGTTGCTTCCCTGTCTGCCAACTTTCTTCCTTTATACTGCTGTTCCATCAGTCCAGGTATTGCTTCTTTAACCCTCATAATGTGGGCCTTGTTGTTGTTGCCAAAATGCAAAGGAAAACAAGAGCACCCCTTTAAAGAAGACATACAGCATTGTCATCTTCCTTTGACTGAATGAACCAGCCCTGGGCTGGGGAGGCCTGGAAGGGTTGGGAACATTTTACATAATCTCCAGTGTTACGTATTTCTGACACTATTCTACAGTGGGAACTGCTTGGGATTTCTTTTTTTATATTTTTTAAAAATTCTTACTCTATGAAATTTTCTAGATTAACTGCACCAACCAGTGTGCAGTGGTGACCTTTTTAAAATTTCTAATAAGGCAAGTACAATTCAGTACATAGTGTGAATAAGACTTAAGTATTTTTTAAACTATGTTAATGCTGGTGGCAGATCCTATCAAAAGCAACAAAGAGCTCACTCCCTAGAACTAATGTCATTGACTGTGCTCAGTGTGACTTCATTTAGCTACCAGTCTCTTGTAAGACTTGTGTTTAAACAGTTGTAATTGTCACTGAAATGATTGCACAGATTTTAGCATCGGATGTTCAAAGTCTCAACCAGACTCTTTGTCCTCTCTCCTCATCAAGCAAAGTAATTATCCTTCTGATCTTTCAGACAACTCTTCCACAACAGTAACTTCAGCAGCAGCAATGGCAGCACAGAAGACTTGTTCAGAGACAGTATAGACTCCTGTGACAATGATATCACTGAAAAGGTGAGAAGCTGTGTGCCTTGGGATTAATGGACCCAACCAAATCCTGCTGCAGACCTGCACCAATGGATGGAACTCCTTGCTCACAGTGCCCCCTGATCTGAAGTACCTCATTCAGAATTTCCTTGATGTTCCATTGATATTACGACTTTGTTTCCCAGTATTGTAAGAGCTGTGCGAGCACAGATCCAGGCATTGTGTTAGTACTTCCTTGGGGTGTATTTGCATTGATCACCTTCAAGGAAGATGCTGGATCTGGGGAACCCAGAATTTCAGAGCTTAATTTCACTGCTGGCTTTGCAGGAAATATGCCACCTTTAAAAAAGAGTAGATAGCTAAATGCCAGTTAGGAGCAGTGAAGGAGCGTTTGAAGAGAGAGTCAAACTCTTCCATTTTTTCCACTTCCCGTTCCAGGTAACGTACCTAGAGAAGAAGGTGACAGAACTGGAGAATGACAGCCTGACAAATGGTGACCTGAAGAGCAAACTGAAACAAGAGAACACACAGCTAGTTCACAGGTAACAGGGCACAGAGCCAGGTCTCCTTACCATGTCAGAGCAAAGCCAGAACACAATTGTGGGGAAGGAACATCTCTACCTGCAGAGTATGACCAAGTCTCCTTCCTTAATGCTGACAGATGAAATAAGGCTTCATCTGAGAAGTCAAGTGCAATAGGGATGAATTCTGAGCAAGCAGAGGCCTTCCAAACTGGTGTCTTTAACAGAGATGTTACTGACTTGCACAGAGCAAGCTCTTCTGCTGTGAGAAAGGTTACTGTGGTGGTTGGATTTGGTTTTTTTTCTTGCATGTAGCAAGAGCATAAGGCTGGGTTGTAGTCCTAGCTTCTTGAGATTGAAAGAATAATAGATGAACCAGTACTACTTAATTCTGTGCTTATTGGGTAGATTAAATACAGGAGAGATACTGGGAGAGATTAAATGCCAAGAGAGAGGGTGAAGTAGAATGAAATAAAGGAATGGACCAGAAAGACGGAGGCGGTGAAGTTGCACACTTATTTTTTAAGTACTTGTGAAGCTCTTACTGAAGTGAGATCTGATTTCCTTAGAGTTCATGAACTAGAGGAACTATTGAAAGACCAAGAAACATCAGCAGAACAGACCCTGGAAGACGAGATAAAGAGACATAGAGAAGCTTACAGCAAGTATGAAAAAGAGAAAGGCACTGAAATCGAACTGCTGAATACAAGGTAACAAACACCTTGGTGCCACCCAGAACAGAGCACAAGGTTCTCTTGTCTTCATTTTTACTTTGCACGTAAATGTAGGCTGTTTACCACCAGACAGTGCACAGATGGTGGCAGGTTGGCAGGTCAGTAGAGTAGCTGTGCAGCTGTGTGTCTTAAAGCCCAAAAGCTGGGAGGATGCCTTACATTAATGCTTTAATCCACGTGGCCCATGTAGGCAGCTTAGCTGGATATTTGGCATGGATTCAAGGAGGGAATTGTGACCAGCTGTAGCAAACATTTGTTTCTTCCGACTTGATTTATTTTTTTAGGTACCTGTTTTTAGGAGCACAAGAATCTGGGGGTCAGTGTGGTGTTTTGGGCCCTAAAAACAAACTATCAAAAAGCTCACGTTAAAAAGTGCTAAGATTAGAAAGATTTTTGTGTTTGGTCTTTCTGTCAAGTGAAATGGCTTTTTAGAGCACGCTATTTTGCATGTCTGCAGTCTTGAAGAGATATCTGCTGTAAGGTTTTTGTTATTAACACAGGGTTCAGCAACTGGAAGAAGAAAACGGTGATTTGAAAAGCACTGTCACACGGCTGAAATCCCAAACGGAGAGATTAGATGAGGTAACAAACCCCCCCTGAGTGCTTGAGCAATTTAACAGCAATTTCATTTGTGTAAGAGCAAAACCCATACGGTGCTTGGCCCGGCTTCTTAAATTTTTCTTCCTTAAACTATTAATGGAATTGGAACATTTAGAGGCAGGAATGCCCCAGGACACAAGCCAGCTTATGACCCGCTGTGTCTGTAGGTTCATGTCGTAAAACTCAGGGTTTCTCCTGCACTTGCAAGCTGGTTATGGAGTTCCCCGTTTATTGTAGGAAAGGCAACGCATGTCAGACAGGTTGGAGGACACGAGTCTGCGACTGAAGGATGAGATGGATTTGTACAAGAGAATGATGGACAAGCTGCGGCAGAACAGGCTGGAGTTCAACAAGGAGAGGGAAGCCACACAGGAGGTAGGTGTGAAGAGGGATGTAAGGCCAGGCAGGCTCTTCTCACCTGCATGGAAACCCATCTGAAAAAGAATGGGCAGACAGGATGAGCACTGAGAATAGCACAGCCAGGGAATGTCCTGCTGGATTGTGTTTCTGTGGGAGGGTGATGAACAGGGTGATGAACACTGCAAGAATATAAATGGCAATCCCTGACCCAAAGGGTTTACAACTCTTTGAGTACTTGCAGCTTCAAATGTGTGCCCTAACACTTCCCATACTAGGGCAATTATGCTTAGGGACATGAAGGTTAGCAGTCAGAGCCCCTTCCATCTCTGCAGTGGTGTAAGTGAGCTGTGCTTCCACAGAAGAGCAGGTGGCTGTGCTGTAGGACTCTGGCCTCAGCCAGACTCACAGGGTGCTTGTCTGAGCACAGAGGTGGCTGTTTGCAGGGGGGATGGTTGTGCAGGGTTGTGCTGGAGATACACGACCTCCTTGCGTGCCCACAGCTCATCGAAGACCTGCGGAAGGAACTGGAGCACCTGCAGCTGTACAAGCTGGAATGTGAGCGCCCTGGGCGTGGGAGAAGCTCCTCATCCAGCGTGAGCGAGTTCAACGCCAAAACCAGGGAGGTGGAGATGGAGCATGAAATAAAGCGGCTGAAGCAGGTGAGCAGAAAAGGCCTCTTGACCCACATGAAATGTATGGGGCTGCCTTGGAAAATGCCTACAGCTGCAACCCCAGCACACTGCCTTTAGGTTTTGTCCCCCCTTTATCACAAGCATGAGACACACATTGCATCTGTGTAGGACTTCTTTGCATCAGTAATGTGAATTGTGCCCTGTGATCCAGGCAGGGAGGACTTGTCACTGGAGGTAAGAGAGTTGCTGTTAACTTGCCGCCTCACCACGTGTCACTCAGACTACCTATGATGTTAAAATATTACTTATTTTTAATGAAACCTTGTTGGAAGAACTTAAAAGCGATTTGTCTTTTCATCCTCCTGAAACAGGAGAATCAGAAACTTCGTGACCAAAATGATGACCTTAATGGACAGATCTTAAGCCTCAGTCTTTATGAAGCTAAAAATCTCTTTGCAACGCAAACAAAAGCCCAGTCACTGGCTGCTGAAATTGATTCTGCATCAAGAGATGAGGTAATGTGCTCTTTTAATCAGGTACTACATCCAAGAATAAGCGTTTTGCAGTGTAATTAACTGTCAAGGTTGAACTATCTGAAGTTGACAAATGAACAACAGAAATTCTGCTTTGATAGGAGTTCAGGAGTGTTGGAAGATTGCCCTAAGTCTAACAGTGTTTTGGGATGCTCCTTGTAATATAACTCTCCCATTTCTCTCTCTCAAAAAAAAGGAATTATGAGACTCTCAGTGAACTGGTTTACAGTTTTAGGGTATTGTGATAGTATGACATAAGTTTCGTTCAGAAATGACCATAAGTAGTTATTATCTAAATTTGAGCTATATATTGCCTATATTCCCTGTAGCAGAGCTGAATTCTTGAAGAAAGTAAGTAGTTTGCAATTAATAATCTGATAATGCTTTGGAAGATATTATGGGAAGCCCATTTGTCTGTGGGCTGAGTCCAGCTCATGTAGCTTCCTCTGAGCTCCAGGACAGATTGTGAGATCAGGCCCATGGATACATAAAAGCTCCCAGGGAAGAAGACAGGTTAGTGGTGAAGGAGATTAGAAGGAATTGTTTGCCTTTTATGCTCTGTTTCTTCCAGACAGAATTCCCCATTTCTTCATCAAAAGGAGTCCTGAGACAGGCCTTTTACCCAGTGTGTACTGGAATGACCTGCCAGCCTTTTATCTCCTGGGCAGGCCCTTGAAGTGAAGTGCATACTTGAGTTTCTTGCTGAACCAGAGCTCTGTGAAGGAAGGTGTTTAATTGTTGATCTCTAATTAGGTAAAAGCAAATTGGGCTTTTGCTATTGTCAAGAAAAATCTGACTTTCTCCCTGTGTATCTCATGACTCTGGCTCATGCAAGGGATGCCCAGCACTCCCCCTTCAAAGGAGGGAAGTGCCTGACAGCTGTGGCCCAGGCTCAGTAAAACCTCACAGACCTGCATAAACTGTTCCCATTTGTGCCATTTTTCCTGTCTAATAAAACAAAGGTAAGAAACTGCAGATTCGGGGTAGTACTTATGTGAAGGCAAATGAAAATGGATACCCAAATAACATGGGCTTTAGGAGGATCTGGGGTTCTGTCACTCCTTGGCAGCTCTGCCGGTTTGGCATTGAACGTGCGACGTAAAAAGCAAAGCAGTCTTCATCTTTGGAGAGGTTGAGGGGCCTTTCACAGCTCAAAAATCTAACTATTGGTAAACTAGTGAGCATATTTCAGGAGTAACTTGGAAATGTTGTGTTTCAGCTCATGGAAGCCCTCAAAGAGCAGGAAGAGATAAACTACAGATTGCGACAGTATATGGACAAGATCATTCTGGCAATCCTGGACCACAACCCGTCCATCTTGGAAATAAAGAATTGAAGAGAATAGGAGAAGGAAAAGCAGCAACTGCCTGATATTTCTGCACATGCCACTGGATCTAAACAACACTCTGATACTGTAAATTAATCTATAAATATATATATATACACTACGTGTGAGTGTGGGTGCGCGGGTGTGTTTATATGATGTTTGGTACACTGTTATTTGTCATTGAATTGGCTTGGTTAGACTTTTTCCATGCACTTTCAATACCTGTGATAAGATGGATACTGTATATTAATGTAATAACAATATAACTGGATCATGCTGTTTTAGATACTGGACAAAATGACTCTACCTCTAGTTGTAAAGGTAAAAAAGACAATGGAAACATATGGATGTGGCCCTAACTTTAGGAGCAAGAATTTTTTCTTCGTTCTTCCAGGAATTTGGGTACCACAAACCAATTGACATACCCAGGTTCAGTTCCTGACTGGTGCTGACTGTGTAATTTACTATTTGATTAAGTTTTAGTACTTCAACCATGCATCGGGTAAAAAAAAACAAAAACAAAAACAAAAAACCAAACACACGACAAAAAAAACAAACTTTGGGAAAAGACAAGACACAAAGTAAACGGGAAGAAGAGGAAGATACTGCAAAATTGTTTGCTATTTGTGAAAAAAAAAAAAAAATCACCATCCACTTGTTTGCCACTGTCAGCACAAAGTGCTTTTGATGTAAGATCACTTTGGAGCCTGCTTTGGGGTGCTCTGAGCCAGCTGCTCCTCGGCGTGTGCGTGTGTGTGTTTGTTGTGCCGGGAGGGGGGTCCCTGTAGCACTGAGGCAAAGAGCTCTTCTAATCTCTTCCCCTATTTTCAGGGGTATATCACGGGCCATTAAGATGAATTCTGGGATCCTGCCCCTTCCCCTCACCCTGAGTTTAAAGATTTCACTGAAGGAATGCATTCCAGTTCTTACCAAAAAAAAATATAAATTTTTGCATGACATATCTTCACTTCAGGGGAGGAGGAGGAGGAGCAACCCTTGACATCACGTGCTGAGTTGCTTTTCCAGCCCATATAGCTGCACTCCTTTGACCTTTTTTTGGGCAGGCTGTGGAGAGGATCCACTGGTTGCTGGCACAGCCATGGAGAGCAGTCTGGTGTGGAGTGGATTTTACCTATAGGGCAGGAAAAAGAAGGAGCTTGGTCTTGCAGGAGTTACCAGTCCAGACTGAGCACACACGTGCATATCTAAAGCTCTAAATAGGGAACACATCCTCGCTTAGATGAGCAGTTGTGCAGGTGCTTAACTTTTAAGTGTGTACTGAGACTGCTCAGAGAAGTCAGTGTGACAGAATATAAGCTTTAAAGTTGAGTTTATGCTTAAATGCTGCCTTAAATAGGGATGACTTCAACATGTGCCTGTGTTCTCCGGAGCTGGATCTGTGTACTGCAGGGCTAGGACCTTTTTAATTAATAATGTAGCTTATATAAGGAGCTTATGGAATCATTTGGGTAGTTGAATGCTAAAAAGGAATTTTATTCCATGCACTTTTTTTAAAGTAAAAGTTTCACACTTTTGATTCACACCAACTGGCACAGAAAAATAGGCCCGAGTATCTGGCTTTCCCCAGTGCATAGAGATGTTTCCTCTCTTGAATACACTCCCCAGAAGAACGTTACAGTAGCAATGACTGTGCTTTTCTGTGTATTTCTTGCTGTTGGCAGTGTCTTGCCCTTAGTATTCTCTCGATGTATCTTGGTGTGTATATGTGATGCATTTTTCCTGAATTTGAATACATAAAACTGTATTCAGTTATGGATGTAAATATATATATATTTTTCTGCAATCTCTGTGCTCTTGCCTTCAGTGATGTGTTACTGGAGCGATGGGAAGCAGGGGATGTGCTGGAATCAGGCTTTCTTGAAGGCAAGAAAATAAAAACAGTTTGTTTCTATGTATCTGCATTAGGCAGGTGTAAAGTAACTGGAAAGAGAGAAGGGACCGGAGGAATGACTGTGGGACACAACACCCCACACAAAGGTGTCTGCAGGAGAAATGGTGCAGTGTGGTTTGAACAGTTATGTCTCAGGGCTGGGTTCCTGGGACTCTAGGGTAATCTGGAGGAAAGGATTTTAAAACCACTCCTTTGCCACCTGGGAATGGTGTAAAATGTCCTGTGCTACATTGCAGCAGCTTCTGTTTGTGGAGAAGCTGGTGGAACACCATGGAAACCCCACACAGCCACCCTTCTGCTGCTGCTTCTGGATGTGCCACCGAGAAGGTAGGAGAGGAACAGTTAAGCCACTTGGTGCTACCTGCCCGCAGGACTCCTCACCTGCACTTTAGTGATGCCATTTCCCTCTGCCTGGTGCTATCTGTGGCTTGTGCCAGGGACTTTGCTCTCTGTATAGGCCACAGAGGACTCTTCCACATGGTCAGGTGGCTATTGCTCACCTGCTGTGACAAGCAGGGCTGGGTGACCAGCAGCCCTGCTTCTGGAGCTGGCTGTGTTTGGGAAGTTACACTGCTGGCCTGCTCTTGTGCGGTGGATTTAAATGTGAGTGAAGCTGTTGCAGCTTAGACTGGTGACTGAATGTTTTTCCCTAATTATTTTTTAAGTAAACTAGACTTGGCTTCAAAATTTTAATAATCTAAACCCCGTCCCCACTAGGGTGGAACATCAGCAAATGTTGAGGACTGTTTCACTGAAAGCAGAGCCTGGCTTACTTCACTGAGACCACAGAGCCCGTGGACGCCAACAGAAGACATGACTGTAGTGGTAGCCAAGTTCCTGTGAAGGTAATTATATGTAAGAGGTGAATAGTCACTACTAGTGACAAATAGTCACCGAATCTGGCCAAAATCCTGAAAGGGATATTCCCAGCAGTGGATTTTCTAAAATCTTGGAGGACTTCTTCCTCAACTCTGTACCCAAGTGTGTCAGCATTTAGAAACTCTTACTTGCTCCACTGTTTGCATTTGAAGAGTTGTCTTACCACCATGTTGGTGGTGTTTGTAGCTTTGTTTTATTGTGTAAAGGAGTTACCCTTCTGCTCCTGTGGGGCCCTTGGTGTGGTACTGCTGTCTGGTACTGTTGAAATACGTATCCAGATACTTGCTATGTTTGACAGATAATGTGAGTTGGAGGTGGGAGAGGCATTTCACTGGCAGATTTTCCTCTAAGGTATCCACTTCTAAAAATAATAATTAGCAATTGCATTCTTAGACTGAGTAACTGCAGATATTAGACCAATCTGTCTTGCAGTTCAAGCCCTGGAAAGCCCTTCTATCTCAGAAAAGAAGTCATCACATTTTATGACAAGCAGGTAACTTGGTAATAAGGGATCACTTGATGGGTCACTGGGGCAGGGAGGAATCTGATGCTGAAGGTGCAGAGAGTGCACACTTTGATCAGGTGCCAGACACTTTGGCGGAACAGACGGGAGACGTGGCGATAGGGAGGCACCAGTTTGGGTGTCTGTTCTCTGATAAGTTTTACTTCTTTGCTGTGCTGTCTCTGTGCTCTCAGGAGAGCTGGGGAAGTACAGCCTGCCTCTGTCAGTGTTACTCTTGCTGGAACAAGGGCCTCGCTTCCCTGGGTAAATAACTTCAAACACAGAAATGTAGTATCACCCTGTTGTAGCATTGCACAAACGCAGCAAACATTCCTGTGTCAGACCCCTGCTTCTCACTTAACCCCTGGGGACGCGAACACAATCCCAGGTTCTGTATCTTCATCTGTTCCTTAGTTCATTCAACCTTAGACTCTCAAAAGCAAAGTGATATTCTGGTCAAACCAGTTGCAAACCACTGCAGGTATTTCTGTACCAGTGGCTTTTGGCTGAAAGCTGCCCTTGGTCAGGGCAGTCCTACACACAGAAAAATTACCTCTTTCAAAACTTGCACTTGAGAGTACCTGAAATTAGTCTCTCAAGATTTTTCTGGTATTGGTTGCTTCCCTCCAGACTTCAGTCTTCAGCTGTTGCCTAGTATTGATTTCAGAGTGATGCTGATTCAAAACTGCTTTGACATCAAAAGAAGATTTTTCAGCTTTCTTAATAACTTCTGTTAAAGACTCAAACTCTTTAAGAATTTGTCTTATTTTGAAGTGCAACAGTGACAAACTGTAACTATCTCATCTATTTTTAAGGAATTTTTAATATGCAAATTTGTAGCAAGTCTCAAAAAAAACCCCAAACCATCCCATGCACTTTTGCTGCCAACTTTCCTTTCATGATCTTTGGGAGAAATTCAGATGTTTCTCAGCCAGCTCTGTAGGGAGTTGAACACAGCATTATTAATTCTCAAAGATATGTGTATCAACAAATATTTTGCTGTCTGAGTGCAGCAATGCTCCATTTACTTGGGTAGAACTGCCTTGCTCTCCAGAGAGGATCTAGAGCTACAGTGTTTAGGCTCCCTAATCTGGTTTGTAAATGAGGGCTTGGAAGCTGATACATAAACACACACTTTGGGCTGTTACACCAGGCTCAGCGGTCTCTGCATCATAGTGCTGGTGACATGTGATGAGTCTAAGAACTAGAATTTACAAATAAAAGATCAGTTTTTTTCCTTCTTTGATGACAGTGAATATACAGTGGTTTTCTCTTAAAACAAATACTGTATGGTGTGGTCTGAGGGATTTTTTCCAAGGAAGGAAGGAAGGAAGGAAGTAGCAGCTGATCAAACACTTGCCAAATCAGTGGCTTGGCTTATATTGATTTAAGTGAAAACTTGACTCAAACTTTAACTGAGCAGTTCCTGGTGTAAGTAGCAATGCTCATATTCTCGTCAAGTCATTTGTTTCTTGAGAAACATTGTCAAGAAGTCATGACAGGTGATGTAACACAGCTGCTTCGTTTTAAAGGATATAGTTCCACAGTTGCTGACATTTTTTTCCTTTGCATCATCCCCGGGGCTTTTTCTCAGTATTTTTGAATTCAAGGTATTGATTCTAGGAGCAGTTTGCTGTTGAAGCATGTGTGGGTTTCTGTTTAATGAAACTCTGCATGCACCTTTAGATACTGAGAAGGATTGCAGTAGGTGTTGGGTCTGAATCCTGTCATCCTGCATAATGCACTGGGAGTTGCTCCTATCCATGTGCAAGAGAGTTGTTTCTTTCTGGTATTCTTCCCCAGTATTTGTTCTGTTGACAGTTATACTCTCTGTCTTGTCCCCAGCCACTGTGCCCACTGTCAGACTGGCTGTGTGCCTTGGGGCAGCACTAGGAGCAGATGGAAGGGACAAATTCAACATTCTTGGCTTCAGTATGGCTTTAGCTACCGAGACAAGAATTTCAGCCTTGTCTTTATACCAGGCCAGTCCTGTCCTTGCCTTTTGTGTGGTCATGAAAGCTGGTTGTGTTCCATGTACAAAACGCTGAAGCTGATTCTCAGTATGCAAGCAGGTAGGGTAAGTTTGAAGGTGATCCAGGTGTGGGATCACTGGGATGTGCCACAAGTTTTGCCTGGATTCTGTACAGGTGTCCCACTGCACTCTGTACTCACAGCCTGTGAGAGGCACAGCCCTGCAGCTGAGCCTGGCAGGCACACCTCGAAGGGAACAGGGAACGGCAGCAGCCCATAAAGACACAAACATCTGCAGCCAGGGCCACGGTACCAGGGTTTGCCACAGTGTGGAGCCAGCTGACAGTGCTACGTGCTGTTCTGGATACGATGGGTTTTAGCTCACTGGCTTAAGTCTGGAGGTTTTGTTTCAACTCAAGAGTAGTACCTGTTCAAAGAGACACAGAGGGATTACTTTTGACTGAAACTTTAAACCTCATGAAAACATAACAGTAACAAACATGGGGCTTCTGTGGTGTAATTTGGACACCTACCCCTCGAATCCATATTTCTGGTTGGTGTAGGTGTTGTTAGTGGTGCAGCTGCGACATGTGAGCTGTAGCTTTCACACCCCTGTTGTCAGCAGTGACACTGGCCCTGGCAAACCCCTCAGAGCTGCTGTGCCCCATCGAGGGGCTGGGACTCTCCTGGGAGAGTGTGCAGAGGGTAAGGGGGGCAGGAGGGCTGCAGTTACTCCTCCACACAGGGATCTCACACTACCCAACACCAGCCCTATTTTATATAATACCTTATCTGTAGCTAAATTATTCTGGCTTTGGAGAAAGGACGCCAGAAGGGGAACTGAGAATTTCGTGTCTTGTGAACCTGCTACAGGGCAGTAAATGTTGCACTGATGTTATGTTTAAATACTGAAACATTTTGAGAATTACTGTAAAATCGGTTGTGAGAGCCATTTGTTTTTCTTTGTTGCACAGACTACCCACGTTTTTTGCATGGTTACGTATTTTAGTACTTGTGCCTTTTACTTCTCTGTTGTGAGGATACATTTTATTTTTGCATTTTATCATCTGTTTCGGGCACTTTTTATATACACTTCTTTCATTTGATCATCTGGTTTCTTGTACATGTGTATATATAAACTAGATCAGATTTGTATTCATGTGCCTCTGAGATGTAAAAAATACTCATTTTGTACAGGTTTTTTTAGAAGCACTAGATCATGGTCTAAATTACATAGCAAATGAAAATTAACATAATTAGCAGTTCTTTGTCTTCTTTTAGAAATGTTGTGTCAGATGGCTGGTCTCTTTTGTAAGGCAATGTTTCACACACACACTCGCAGATTTATTGTTCTAGTATCGTTATGAGACCAATTCTATCCACTTGTTGGCTTCAGTTAATTCAAAATAATAAAACACTTAACTAAATGTTATTGTCCTGACTTGGCAACTATAGTTTTTATTTCCATTAAAGCCAATTTGCCTCTTTTTATACTTGAAATGGACCCCAGACCAAAACCTCATTTGAACACATTGCCCATTTCAGGTTAACTACAGTTCTGGGATTATTTTTGTGGGATTGGGCAAGTGATTTACTTTGCCCATTGAAATGGAAAGAGAAATAGCATTACCAATTCATAGACTCACCATCTTAGAGCACCTCAGATGCTTTAAGTTATTCCTTCTCTTTCCTCCCTGGCTTCTGTGGCAGCGTTTCCCAAGGACAGACCCTGGATCTGCATGACTGGAGATCTTCCTCTTGCAGATGTGACAAACTGGGTGTCTTGCTTTTCACATTTTGGCAAATGCTGAATAAACTCCTTCCCATGGGGTTTGTAGCACAGCACTCTCCTGCAGCATTTGGGAAGCTGAATAGATGCGATGTGAGACTGGACATCTGTAACTGGCAACCAGGGATCTGGTCCTAGAAGTGTCCTTCCCTCCCACCAGCCTCTTCCTGAGCTGATGGTTTCATTTCTGGAGTGTTGACCCCCTCATCTGGTGAGATCCCTCCACTTACACCTTGTGGTTTATCAGTACCCCACTCACCAGCCGCCAGACACAGTGAGATAATAAACTCTGCTAAGTCACAAGGAAGAAATCATCAGTATCCCCTAAATCTTACAAAACAATATCCCCTAAATCTTACAAAAAAAAAAAGATTTATCTCCTAAATCTTACAAAAATCTATAAAATAGTATGTTCTGCTCTCACGGAGCAGAAATTTTTTGACTGAAATCAGCACCCATTTGACAGAATATAAAGCTGCCTTAGAAGCAATGAGGTGGTTTTACTTTTTTATTTTGAAGGCTGCTTAGTATGAAAGTGAGAAAAGTCCACTTGCACCATTGTTACTGAAAAAAAAAAGCAGCCAGCAAAAGTGGCATATGACTATTTTTAGTCTTGTTCTGTAATTTATACCACCCGTGAAGTGATGTCAGTACTGTTGCAATGTGCCATTTACACTATTTTCTTTGTATTTTCTTAAAATACTTTCTAGGGACAATAAAGCTGTCCTTGCTGATGTGGATCCTTCAGGTAGCTGTAATGTACAATCAGACATGTAAATAAATTGTTTGCTTTTCCTGCATGACTGAAACGTTGTCTGTAGTGGATGACTGATTTAATGTCCCTCCTTACCTTCCTTCCTGGTCCACCTCTATTTCTGTGCTTCATTTAAAGGAGGACTGCCCAGCTCTGCTCTGCCCTGCCCAAACACCGGCTTCCTTATCTTTGGCTGAGTTATGAGGGAACTCCAGGATGGCAGGGAAGGAGTTTGCTCAGCACGTGCCTTACCTGACAGCCACAACCATGTAAAACATCCAAGAGCTGTGTGGGATATGTAAGGCCAAAGCTTTGTATGGGACGACCCATTAATCTCTCCGCTTCTGTGTTGATGGGCACTCCAGCTGTGAGCTGTTTGCAGGATTTGGAGCCAGCTTTTTAATCTGGCCTGTATTTACTGACCCGTGGTGCTGATGAGCAGTGCTGTGACTCCTGCCCTGAGGGGCAGTGAGCTGCTGCGGGGAGGGCACAGCCCAGAGCCGTGTCCTGGGGGAATCTGGTCTGGCCTCACATGGCCAGCAGTGACCACCCCAGGGCGTGTGCCGGGGGAGATGTTCACTGTTAAACTGGAGGCGCCTGTGCCAGGAGAAGCCTGAGGGAAGACTCTGTTCCTGGGAGAGGCTGAGGCTCCTGGGAGTGCCTGGAGGGGCCGTCCTGGGAGCAGGACAGCAAGGATTGTCCATGAGGGGCCAGGGTGGTGCTAGGACGGCTTGGGCTATGCCTGGGAGCTGGGACCTGTCACTGGTGCCATGTGTGGAGGAGCCCCTCAGCCTGGTGAGGGCTCAGGCCAGGACTCACCACGTTCCCATTCCCGGCGGAACAGGCTCTGCGTGAGGCGGGATGCTGCAGGACACACCGGGGCCCACTCGACCAACACTCTGAGGTAATTTTTTTTTTTATCTTCTGTTTGAGCTGCCAGACCCACTGGCCTCTTCTCTGCACTGTATTTTAACTGCTAGAGTTAAAAAAATAAGTGAGGAGCAGTTTGGGTTTGAGGCTGCTTTTTGCAAACTCTGTGGAGTGAGGGGAGGGCACGGTCACCTCAGGGGCAGCCGAGGTGTCTGTGGGCACTGTTGCCCAAAAGAGTGGGGCCCATGGCTTTGTGAAAACACTGCTGACAGAGGGGCAGACACAGCCAGCCTAGGAAGGTGCTGGGTGCTTCTTATGTGGTAAAAATGGGGGGGATTGTTGTGTGTTGGAACAATCCAGGGGCGAAGCAGCTCCTCAAGCAGCCCTGTGCAGCTCCCTGCCTTCTCCTGCCTGCCAGGCATTGTGTTGGAGGAAACCATCAAGGCTGGCCTGGGAGCACCAGCAAAGCCCACACTGACATAGCCACAGGGTGCAGGTGGCTCAGGGATGTGTTTCCACAGCAGTTTTACTGGGTTTGAAGTTTGGCTCCTGAAAATCTGCTGCTTCGTCAGGTGTCATTCGTGCCCTTGATGTAAAAAAATGTGACCGTTTTTCAACTGTGTGGAAGATGGTGAAGGGTGTAGAGCCAGGGAACTGAGCCTGTGGTGTATTATTTAAAATATAAAGTGGAATCTAAAGTGGTAAGATCTCTGCCTCCAGCTGGGCTTGGAGCAAAGGAGAGGGGGAAAGGGAATTTTGAAAAGGCTTCACTAATCAGTTCAAGCCTTGCAGGGCAAAGTTTTTCCTTATAAAACATTTTGATGATCTTCAAGTGATCATAGCGTATCAAACAACTTTCATCTGGCTCTCAGAGGTCTCTAATCCTGGTATGTGTCTTTTACAGTATCACCCCATGTGGCTGTGGGGCAGCTTTTCTCACTGTGGGTACAGATATTTGGGGAATCAGGGCAAAGATAGTGTATAAATAATACATGGAGCAACGTACCTGAGTGTTATCTTCTCAGGCTTTTCCATTCCCAGATTCCTCCCAGCAATGAGATGTTGGATATTCAGATTTATAACTGCAGGCTCAAAGAAAACTCCCTACTGTGTATGCTAAATTACTTCACCAGAGAGACAGGGAGAAGTTTTGTTCCCAAATCTCAGCACCTCAGGCTAATGTGATGTACTACTGACCTACTTCCAGATCAGTTACACACTGCTACACAAGAAAAACACAGTGGGAAAGCAAATCACCTGTTACTCTGGGGATAGGAATCATCAACACTATTTACCACAAAGTCCATAATAGTTTCTAAAAAATTATGCTGTTTTTACATGTTTTTACTTGGCCGGGGAGAGCCACAACCCTTGGGTCATTTTACAAACAGGAATTTTACAAGCTCAGAACTCCTGGGAGGTGATTCTTATCTTGTTCCTATCTTTTGAGAGAAGGGAGGAGGGAAGGAGGGTTTGAGGGCAGACAGGAGAGTAGGAGAGTAGGAAGTAGATTGCAGGAGTTCAAACTGCTGAGAACTTGAACAGTGACAAGGAGAGCTGTTACAAAGAGGAAACACATCTCATGTGAGCATTGAGTGAGTACATTGTCCAACTCCTGTAGTCTGGCAGCAGGCTCTGATCTCCTCATGTTGTCTTGGCTGACACATGTTGTTCAGCAAAGCAGTCTCAAAGCCATGACTTCAGTGCTTTCCCTTGCTCTGTTCACTACTCTTGGATGGCCTGTTTCAATGCTTTCCTGAATCTCTGAGGTCAGACTGGGATGTGTGACTCCACTCTGAATGTCTTTTGACCCATGCAAAACAGCAAGGACTCTCCTGGCTTGCATAACTTGGGTGAAATTTGTCCTCGGAGCCAACTGCTTTTTGGATGCAAAAAAGAGGTTAGAGCATATGACTAGTAAATTGAAGACTGTCCCAGATGTATAATCATAACTGTTTGGGTTAATGGTGATTTTAAAGCAACTTTGCAATGATAATATGTCAGCAGTGTCCTCTGGCACGGTGCTTATTTCCCTCACACCGAGATCTTTGTGCCTGAGCTCAGTGACTGATGAGGCAGTTTGCATTTTGAGGCAATAGTGTGTAACGTGGGGTTTATGACTCAGAGTACAGACTGTTTCTGAAAAGACAGAGGAGCTGGGCTGTGGCACCAACTGAGGTAGATGGAACTCAGCTGCTGAAAGGCTGCGCTCGCTCTCTCCTTGTTGTACTGGAGCAAATTGCTGGCTCTGTTTTATGAAACACTGTCTCTATGGCTTTTCCTAATGTGCTCAGGCTTTCATTTAAAACCTGAACAGTCACCAGGCAGGGCTGCTCTCAGGCCCTCAGGAATCCTCTGGTCTGCCTGAGCACTTGTGCCATGTGACACAGAAACAACACCTGACCAAGGCTGTACTTGAGCCTCTTGGATCAAAGTGTGGACTGAGGAGCTGAGCTCTGGCTGTGCAGAGCAGTGAATTGGGGGGCAGCAGCAGAGGAGTTTGTTTTCATTCATGGAAATACTGTGTAAGTGTGGATTAAAGGTGAAGCCCTGAAGCCCCCCCCCTCAGTGGCCCCATGCTGGGGAGCAGCAGGACTGGGCAGTGGGTGCAGCAGAAAACAGGCAGGCTCTTCCCATCACTCTGCCAGAGCTAGGGAGGGAGCAGGAGCACTGCCAGGACTGTCCTGTGCCCACCACCTGAAATGCAAAGTCCAGGGCCATGGAGGGGGCAGGATGTGGCTGAAAAACAGCTGCGAGTTCTGCAACCCCAGCACCTCCTGCCGTACTGCTTTTTTGGGGCTCTGGGTATCGCTGGGATGCTGAGTTCCCAAGCAACTGTAGCCTCAAAAAAGTAAACCTTAGCAGCAGAGACAGGCTGGGATAGATTCGCTGCAATATTGTTATGAGCACCTTAAAATGGGACCCTGAGGAAAGCGACTTTTCCTCTTTGGAATGAGCTGCTCAGACCTCACGTGGTTGGTTTATTTGAGCAAGGAGAACACTGCAAACACAGGATGCATTCCTGTAATAAAGGTTGTGTAACTCAGATCTGATTTGACAGACAGTGGGGCCTGGTTACAAATTCATAGTATAAAGTAAAGATAGGGATTCTATTATGTGAGATTGGCTTTAGGTTCTAACTGTGCCTTTTCTTTCCTCTTTGGTTGGTTGGTTCGGTCTGTGTTTTTCAGGACAAATATGTAGGCTAAAAAATAGCAGATTACTTTCTGCTGCCCAGCATTGGTTGAAAACCAGAAGCCAGGATGAAAAATGTCAATGCAAAGCTAAATAATGGTTCAAAACCACAACCTTCAAATTCTTCCCTCAGCTAGTGGTGATAAAAATGAGAGCTGATTCATTTCTTGGGTTTTAACCAAGCGTTAGCCATAAGACTAAATATTTGGTAGCTGGAAACCCAAAGGAGGAAATATTAATAATGCAGTATTGTATTTAAGATTTATGCTATTATGATTTGACTGTGTAAACAGAAGATAATGGGATTGAAGTAAAACGTGAAAATTCAGTTTGAATATCAGGAAACACTTCCTGACACAAACCATATTAGATTGCCTGATGCTGTCCCAAGGGAAGGGTGGGGAAACGCTGCTGCTTGGCTCACAGGGAAGAGACAGTCCCCGCCAGCCTCCCGAGTGCCGGGACAGTCCCCACCATCCCGGTGTCCCGGGCCCTGCGAGGGGCTGTGTCCGATCCCACTCGGCTCCTGCTCTCGGGGGATCCTTTCCGGCCCCCCAAACCGGGAGCTGGCCAGCGACAGGGCCGGAGCGTGAGCTTGGCAGTGCTTTTCTCACACCGAACAGCCGCTGTTTGTTTCCCGAGGCAGCTCCGTGTTCCTGCAGGGACGCTCCGCGTTACTCCGCCGCGAGAAACACCGGGAGAAGGAAAGGAAAGCGAACCCTCCCCGGTAATTCCGTGGTGTGGGAGCAGCAGCGCTCGGGGACACCGCGGGAAGGGGTTTCGCAGGGGTCCCGCCGCGGGGGACGGGGCAGGGCGGGGCCGAGCCCCGCGGGCGGGACACGGTGCGGGCACACGGCGAGAGCCCCGCCCGCTCCCGGCGCCCCGCCCCGCACGTGCCCGCGGCAGCCCCCGCGGGGCGGCCCCGGGGGCTCCCCCCGCACGGCGCGGCCGCTCCGCCCCGTCCCGCCCCGTCCATCCCGCCCGCTCCCCGCCCCGTCCCGCCGCCGGCAGCGCCCCGGGACGCGCCGTCCGGTCCCGGCGGCGGCCGCGCCGCCCGCTGCCTTCCACTGGCGGCGCGCGGGTGCAGCCAGCCCGTCGGGCGCGGTGGCCAAGTGGTAAGGCGTCGGTCTCGTAAACCGAAGATCGCGGGTTCGAACCCCGTCCGTGCCTGCCGAGGCAGCGCGGTGCGCTGGCAGCCCCGCCGCGGGGAGGCCGCGGACGCCGCCTCGTTTGCGGCTCATTTTTGCTCTCGGTGCCGGAGATCCGCGGCCCCGCCGCCCTTCCCGGGGTGTCGGACATCCGGCCCCGGGGAAGCTGCGGATCGCGGGGCTGCCGGTGGCCGCAATGCTCCGCGGGTCCGCACCGTGGAGCTGCTGGGGTGGCCGCGGTCCCCACGCGTCGTGGGGTGGCATCAGCAGGGCGTGGGGGTGAGCAGGCTTCGGGCAACACCGGTGGTGCACCCCTGGGACCCCTATGTCCCCTCTGCACCACGGGACCCAGGAACCACGTCCTTGCAGGGGACAGTTCTCTGTGCTCTGTGTTTTGCCCCAGGACAGGTGTCCCGAATGCAGCGAGGCACAGTTAAAGTAAAGCTGTGCTGTGCGAGGGGAGTTGGGTCCGCTGGGATGTGAAGAATCCCTCTCGCTGGTACTTTCTCTGTAGGTGCTGGGTTTGATGTACTGCTCACATATAGAGTCCTTAAAGGGTAGAGAAGTCGAATCCTGGAATAAAAGCTTAGTGCAATTAGAATCAAAGAATTGTTAAGGTTGGCCCTCTGAGATCATCGAGTCCAGCTGTTAACTCAGCACTGCATGTTCGCCACTAAACAATGTCCTCAAG